TATTTAAAGGTCGAATATTAATAATCATAGCGAGTCCTCTTTATTTATTTATGTCTTAACTTCTGCTAGTAGTAGCATCATCACCCTCATAATGAGAGTGAGCTGCTCACTGTAGTGGCTTTCCCAAACAATCTTCAAATCTTAAAAACATTCTCCAACAGAATTATTACTTAATAATATTGTAACAATACCACTTGGTATAAAATTAATGTGTGTCCATATGAGGACAATGACGTGGAAACAGTGGACTGCTGCAAGTACGTTGGTGTCATGTGACAACACACTGGACTGGAGGGACAACTGCAATGCTGTGTACAAGAAGAGAAAGCTCAGGTCTTTCAATGTGTGCAGCAAGTTACCAGAGATCTTCTCCCAGCCCTTGACTTGGCTGTGGTCTGCTGGGGGAGCAGCACCAAGAACAGGACATTGGGTGGATTGACTAAACTGATCCATAAATCTGCTCATGGGATCGTCTGTGAGCTGGAGACGTTTGTCACAGTGAGGGAGACGAGGACACTGGACAAACTGCTCAACATCATGAACACTCCTGCTCAGCTACTGCACCAGACTATAAAGGGACAGATAATACTCCCTACAACTGTACAACAACTCACCCTTATGTAACGGATAAGCCTATGTTTCTGTCAATCATCATATCACCTTTGCACTGTTTTCCTTATGACTTCTTGTATATAACTGTAATATGCTGCATTTATTTCTATTACTATATTTCTGTTTTTACTTACTTGTACATATACATTTATATAATTATGCCTTATTTGACAGCAGCCTCTTGCTATTTGCTACTTATTACCATTTTTATATTTTTTACTCTTCGTTATTACAATATATTGTGATGTGTGAGCTACTGTGTTCAAGTAATTTCCCTTGTGGATCAATAAAGTCTTTCTAGGTCTAAGTCCATTTTGCCAGGACCTTCGTGTTGAAACTATTACAAAAATCTGCACACCTCAGAACTGAGTAGGTCTACATTAGAATGTATGACATAAATAAAAACCCTTTATGTTTCCACAGAGAGGAACTGCAGTCTGAGGATCTCAGCGAACAACAGCCTCACACACAGACGAATACTGTGTTTAAGGTATTTGAAATACTAATAAATGCTGTACTGGTCACAGAACCTAACCATTTTTTGCAGTTTTTTTCCAAATTTTCCTGATCCAGATGAATCAGACACAAATTGTATTCTTTTATGTACTATAGTGTATACATTATGCAACAATGCAGCTTTATGTAATAACTCCAAATGTAAGACAATTTTCACTCGATGATTTAATAAAGCTGGATTTTGTAATAATTTGCCTTTTACTGTATCAAAATATAATAGGGCTTTTACTTTACTGAAGTAAACAGTAATAATATAATAGTAATAGCATAAGGGATGAATGCATTTACAGCACCTATTTTCATATTATTATAGACATCATCAACCATTTGACTTAGTCTTCATAGGTTAAGACGAGAGTAAAGGCTGGTTTACAGTCCTGTGTCGGACACAGCTGAGTGCCAATGTTCTGACACAGACCTGAACCATATGAGCTTCTGTGGAGCTCATCAGGGTTCAGGTACATTGTGGGAATCCAAACTAATTTGCATTAATTATTTTTGTTTATTGACTGTTTTATTTCTGTTCAAAGAAAGATTGTCTTTCCTAAAAGAGTAGGGCTGTAGACTGAAGTAGAAGTCTGAGATTTATTTTAAAAATATTTAATGAAGAGTTAACTTGGCATTTTTTAAAACAAGCACAACAACAACACACAACTCAATATGCACAACTGTTATGCAATACCACTGGTGCTCCTAAAGTTTCTATATGTAGCCTACTGCAAATCATCAACAAAAACAGCACAAACTCACCAATACATGAGCTGCTCATTGGAGTGGCTTTCCCAAACAATCTTCAAATCTTAAAAGCATTCTCCAACAGAATAAGTATTTGATAATATTGGAACAATACCACTTGGTACGAATTTTAATGTCTGTCCATTTTGGCAGGACCTTTGGCAGAAACTATGACAGTCTTTACATTATAGGCTTTCCTAAAAAAAAAAAAAAAGAGATGGTTTTGAGATGGAAATGCACAGCAGACTGGGGTCCCATGCTGCTCTTTCATTGGTGTTGATGTGGCTGTTTTGTTTCTCCAGTGTAATGCTCACTGCAGTATTCACTACCACATTGCTCTGCTTTGCTTTGGTTTGTGGCTCTGTGTTGTCCTTTGGGTGGGTTTCTGTCTTAAAGTGTCTGTAGGTTTGAAATCCTGGTCTATTTCAAACCACTCCTTTGAAGACAGGAAAATACAGATTAAATTAATTAGCCAAAGAAAAGAAATGGTTTGAGGGGGGAGTTAAAGAGAAACTTTCTTAGGAAAGACAAATGTTATTTTATTACACAATGCAGCATCATTACATAAAGGGGCTTCATACAGATGTGATTTATTGACATTAGAAGGTACTAATTGTACAATAGCATTATTAATCTTTTTGATTAATTTTTATATGCTGGGATGGGCTGTCATCTTTTTCACCGTGCTTGATTACACTGGCATCTATTTCAGCAACTGGAGGAAAATATCATTGCTTTTGTTAGAGAAGAACTGGCAAAGTTCAACAAGGCAATCCATGAACCACAACCCTCATCGAGTGAAGCCCGTGAAGAGGAGAGGAGCAGAGAGGCTTTTCTGGAGATCACTCTGGACTTCCTCAGGAGAATGAAGGAGGACAAGCTCGCTCAAGATTTAGAGAGCAGTAAGAATATTTTATGATAACATTACATTCATCTTCTTATTTTTAACCTTCGTTTTTTGGCCTTTAGGTTTTTATTGTGGAGTCAGTCAGTTGAAGTTGCAATCCTTGCTGAAGGAGAAGTGCCTTAAAGTTTGTGAGGGTGTCCCTAAAGTTGGAGGGGCTACAACTTTGAACAAGATCTACACCGACCTGTACATCACAGAGGGAGGGACAGCGGGAGTCAGTGATGAGCATGAGTTTGGACGAATAGAGACCACCTCCAGAAAGTCAACCCCAAACCCACAAACCATCATCGCATGTGAGGACATTTTTAAAGGCTGTATCAGAGGAGGAGGTAGAACCACACAGACAAGAGTAGATAGACAAGCACAGGTCAGAACAGTGATAACCATGGGAGTGGCCGGCATTGGGAAAACTGTACTGACTCAGAAGTTCACTCTGGACTGGGCTGAAGGCAGAGCCAACCAGGACATCCATCTGCTCTTCCCATTCACCTTCAGAGAGCTAAATGTACTCAGAGACAAACAGATAAGTCTGGTCGACCTTGTGCAACATTTTTTTAGTAAGTCTATAAAGCTTTGTAGTTCTAAAATTGTCCATACGGTTTTCATCTTTGATGGTTTGGATGAGTGCAGATTTTCTCTGGATTTTACCAAAACTGTGACCGACCCTTCAGAACCCAGCTCTGTGGGTGCGCTGATGGTAAACCTTTTTAAGGGATCTCTGCTTCCCTACGCTCGCATCTGGATAACCACACGACCAGCAGCAGCCACTCAGATACCAGCTGAGTGCATCTCCATGGTGACCGAGGTGAGAGGGTTTACAGACTCACAGAAGGAGCAGTACTTCAGGAAGAGGTTCAGAGATGAACAGGTGGCCACAGAAGTCATCTCACACATTAAGAAGTCCCGCAGCCTCCACACGATGTGCCAGATCCCAGTGTTCTGTTGGATCACCTCCACAGTCCTGGAAGAAGTGATGAAGACTGGAGATACTGACCAGCTGCCCAACACTTTAACTAATATGTACCTCCACTTACTCATGGTTCAGGCTAAGTTAAAGAATGTGAAGTATGACACACTGTCCGGGACTGATCCAGTATGGACTTCATCAAACCGTACAATGGTGCTGTCTTTGGCTGAACTGGCCTTTGTGCAGCTGAAGAAAGGAAACCTGATCTTCTATGAGTCTGACCTGGTTGAGTGTGGTCTGGATGTTGTGAATGCCTCGATGTACTCTGGCGTGTTTACTCAGGTCTTTAAAGAAGAGTCCGGTCTGTACCAACACAAGGTCTACTGCTTTGTCCATTTGAGTGTCCAAGAGTTTCTGGCTGCTCTTCATGTCCTTGTCACATTTGTCAACACTGGAGAAATCCTACTGAAGAAACAACTCTTTTCTTCTATGAAAAAAAAGATACTTGGAAGCCAACACTATATTCACCAGCTCCACCAGACAGCTGTAGATGAAGCATTGCAAAGCCCAAATGGGCAGTGGGACTTGTTTCTGCGCTTTCTTTTAGGTTTGTCTAAATGGACCAATGAGAAATCTTTGCGGGGTTTGTTGAACCCAGAAATGTTTAAATCTGTTTTTTTGTCAAGTAACAATGAAAAGACAGTTGATTACATCCATAAACTGTTAAAAAAGGTTTCTCCAGAAAAAAGCATTAACTTGTTTCATTGCTTAAATGAACTGGAAGACCGTTCTCTTTTGACAAGAGTCCAAGAACACATGAAGGGGCATCTCTCCAGTAGTACATCACCTGAAGAGTGGTCAGGGCTGGTTTTCTCACTGCTGTCCTCAGATAATGATCTAAGTGTCTTTGACTTGAAAAAATACTCTGCTTCAGAAGAAGCCTTGCTCAAGGCTGCTGCCAGTGGTCAAGGAAGCCCATACAGCCATGTAAGTTCATTGCATGAGCTTTGCACTTTGATTTATATTCCAGCTAGTCAAAGTTACCAACAGTAATTTGTTCACTTCACAGGATGACTTACTGTGAACTATCCTCTGTGAGTTGTGATTCTCTGTCATCAGTTCTGAGTTCATCACCCTCACATCTCCGAATCTTGGACATCAGTAATAATGATCTGTATGACAGAGGAGTGGAGCTGCTGTGTGAGGGACTGAAAAGTGAGCAGTGCAGACTGGACACACTCAGGTAAGTCTGGATCATGTTGGACTGTACATGTTCAGCTGGTGGGTGATTTTTGTGTTGTTTTAGGCTGTCAGGATGTCTGGTCTCAGAGAAAGGCGGGGCTGCTCTGGTCTCTGCTCTGAGCTCCCCCTTCTCTCATTTAAAAGAACTTGACCTGAGCTACAACCATCCACAAAGTGCTACTATAGAGATATTGACTGCTCTGCAAAAGGACCTTGCCAACTCCCTGACGACTCTCATGTGAGGACTTATTCATCCATGTAGTTTTTGGTATTAATGGACTGGTTTACATTTTAAAACCATGTCTGTTCATTCAGTATTGGACAATAGAAAGATGTTGTATATGGAAGTACCAAAAGAAGGTCTCAAACAGTATTGAGTACAAGGCTCGATTGGGCTCATTTGATTGGGTTAGTGTGAGGGCACCTTCATTTTTACAGATAGCACAACACAAAAAATCATGATCATGAACTCTTATGATCAATGTGCTGCAGAAACATATTATATATATTAGACTATACGCTCTGGGAAAGATTCACGTCCACTGGGCCATACGTGATATTTAAAGTACATACACACAGAGAAATTGTAAGCCTGGATGAAATAAAACATATGTGAAAAGACTAACGAGGCCACAAAGATAGATTAGCCTATTAAACATCTATCATTGCACATGTTACAGCTCAGAATTTCATTTTTTAAATTTTTTTTTATCTATTATTTTGCATCTCAGTTAGTGCAGTGTCATTTCTTTAAAGGGATAGTTCGGATTTTTTGACATAAATCTGTATGGCATCCCCGTCATCAGTGTTGTGCATTCACACCGACTTACCCCCGAAAGCGTCCGGTGAGCCGAGATACTGGCCGGGTTTTGGTGCTGAGGAAAGTAGTTCGGCAAGTTGTGTGGGGACTGTATACTAAAGCGTTTTTCTTCTCAAAGCAATATGTGTTCAAAAGAGTGATACATTTGCATCACAAAACCATCGTCGCCAAAAAAGTCAGATCTCATAATCGCTTGGCGCTATTTTCTCTCCGTACGTACCACTGCGCGCGGCCGCCAGGTGACAGCCGCGCACGAATCCATCACTTTCTTCAGTTGTTCGGCAGTGTTTACATGCGCAGACCGCCGCCACGCGAGAGAGCTAACGAGAGAGCTAGAGCCATAAGTATATGAGCTTGTATAAGATACATATGAATATATCTAAAAAATGGTGCGAACTCTTGATTATCCAGGCTGTAACAACAAAAATCTGGCTGAATCTCCACACACATTTCACTGTTTTCCTGTCACGGACTTTGCGCTGAGGAAACTTTGGCTTCTTGCCTTTGGCTTCAATGTGGAAACTAAACCAGGTAAGAACGAAGAAGTGCCGCTGTGTTTACAAGAGAACAGACTCAAGAATCAGCTGTAACTCTGTGTGCAGTAAATCACTTCTACAAAACGTAACTTTATAAGTCGACTGTTATTACTATTGTAAATGTCGTGTACACTATTGGTAGCAGCTACGTGGACGTGTGGTTGATTCTATGTTTCTATTAGTCATCCATACTTCAGTCACAGTGTCGGCTCTATGTTCACTGTATACGAGTTTATAAATGACGTGATGGTGATTGTCGCTCACTCGGTCTCTCACGGCTCCAGCTTCAACTTGTACCACTTCTCTGTCTTTTTTTCTCTCTCTCTGCTCGTTCTAACTCCATCTGGTGAAATTCGGCATCAGTATATTTGGGTTCACCAAAGATCTCACCTTGGGTTTGTGGTAAAGGCAAAGTCTTTATTGTCGGTGTCGTAATCAGACATGTTGTCGCTAACATTCCGAGCAGTAAACAAAGTGAACCAGGCTCATATACTTATGGCTCTAGCTCTCTCGTTAGCTCTCTCGGGTGGCGGCGGTCTGCGCCTGTAAACACTGCCGAACACTGAAGAAAGTGATGGATCCGTGCGCGGCTGTCACCTGGCGGCCGCGCGCAGTGGTACGTACGGAGAGAAAATAGCGCCAAGCGATTATGAGATCTGACTTTTTTGGCGACGATGGTTTTGTGATGCAAATGTATCACTCTTTTGAACACATATTGCTTTGAGAAGAAAAACGCTTTAGTAAACAGTCCCCACACAACTTGCCGAACTACTTTCCTCAGCACCAAAACCGGCCAGTATCTCGGCTCACCGGACGCTTTCGGGGGTAAGTCGGTGTGAATGCACAACACTGATGACGGGGATGCCATACAGATTTATGTCAAAAAACCTGAACTATCCCTTTAAAGTGAGGCTACATGATTGATATAGATCCAATAAGGCCCGTGTGTAGACTTAGAGCATGTTGGACGCTGTTCCGGTTCACACTGGTCGCTCTGTGCTTCCATCACTCTAAATTCCCACTCATTGTTCATACCTGTTCACATATCAGTGCTCGTACTCGCCGCTCAATACGCCCGAAAAGCTGAAAACATTTTGCGCCACAGTGCTTTAGTTGCGTGTCAGTGTGCCTAAGGTTAACATGGTAATCGCTTGAACAATTCGCGACTGCCATGTCTAGTCATAATGTGCCCATGAGTTTGTGACAGCTAGGAGCAAGTTAGTGTCCAGTTTTAATACAGTGTGCAGAATGCATCTTCAACCCCAATAGAAATTTTGATAAAACCCTAACCCAAAAATATATACACTCCTTTTGAAGCAGGAGGATTATTTCCACTACTATAGAAGTGGTGTGACAGCTTCTGTTTAAGCGCAAGGTAACTGGTGCACTGTCTTTCAGGCTGGATCCTGTTGGAAAAAAATGGCTGACTCCTGGGCTAAAAAAGTGTAAGTCAAATATCAAATAATGCCAGTAGTTAATTCAGTGTACCCATATGCAGGAATAGTACGTTTAAAGAATGTGATTTTTTTTTGTAGATTTTTGTATACCCACGTTGGATCCAAATTCTGCAAACAAAAGCCTTTCCCTGTCAGAGGACAAATGTACAGTGACTGTGAAAGATACTGACCTGCCATACTCTGATCACCCGGACAGGTTTGACTCCTGTTTACAAGTCCTCTGCTCCACTGGTCTAAAAGGACGCTGGTACTGGGAGGTGGTCTGGGAGGAGAGAATGCACAGTTGGGAAATAGATGTAGCGGTTAGTTACAGAGGGATTGGGAGGAAAGGTGGGAGTGGGGTGAGTGGCTTTGGACGCAATGACAAGTCCTGGTGTTTGAAAATTTCCAGAAGCGGCTTCATTGTTATTCATGAAGACAGACAAACACGACTATCGCCCACTTCCTATGATACAGATCGAGTGGCCGTGTACTTAGACCACGCAGCTGGATTTTTGACCTTCTACAAGATGAAGCACAAACAGCTGGTCCATTTACACACCTTCACCTCCACCTTCACCGAGCCTCTGTACGCTGGCTTTGGATTTGGCTCATGGTCTTCTGGTGTTACAGTGTCTTTTGGACTCTGATGTTTTAAATAAAGACCAGTTTTTTTGTTTTTTTAAAATATGTGCTCACCTTTAATAGACTTCAAGCCAACGTTATGTAATTTTATGAGTTAAGTTTTCAGTATCGGTATGGTTAGTCTTCAAGCTTAAAGGTTGTATGGAGGATTTTTTTTTTTTTTTTTTTGTTTCAAGTTGTCAATGATAGCATTATAGAGGTGCAGTAGCCTTGTAATTATGATGACCAAAAAAAAGAGAATAAAAATTTATCAACTCTGGACGTGGTGGGGCTAAACATTTGCCAATAGATAACGACACTGCCTCGTTATCTGTTAGCTGACAGGCTGTCAATCAATCTCCCTACGTTTCTAGCGTAACTGACTTGCCTGCGCGCCGCCGGTACGTGGTTTACGTACGACTGTCACGCAGTCCACAGACGCAAGACGCACAGACGCTGTTTACTCCACCAACGCAACAGTTTTTTTGACCTGTATTTTCCTTGCAGTTCGCACAAAGTTTGTTGCAATGGCGACAAGAATCCAGGAGCAGTTAGCCGCAAAAGAAAGTCCGTTTTTGAGGTTGCTGAAAGAAGAAGACAAGGGGAAAAGCAGCGAAGCCAAACTAAGGTGATTCTTGAAGATTCATTCCAGCGATGGCGCGACTGAAGCAGACGCAGGGTCTAAAGACTGACGCACTGGTCGCCAAATTACTCCTGGACAGGAAACTTCTGCTTATTATGAAAACGTACTTTATTTCCAAGAGCTAGACAAACGTTTTTCAGGACACGAAAGCGATATCCTATGTCTGAAAACGTAATTTTCAAGGCAAAGAAAGAGTCCGCTTGCTGCTGCGTGTTGTAGCTAGTTCATTCGCACTGAATCTCCGCGCACCCTTCTCTGCACCCCTTTCCTGCTCCTGTCCCCGCTGCCCGATCCGCTCTTCCCCCTGCTCCTCACTTCTCCGGGCTCGGAATCTCTGCACACCGCTCCCCTCTCCTCTCTCCTCTCCTCTCTCCCTGCTCCGCTCTTCTCCCTGCTCATCACTTCTCGTCCGCGAACGAAATGTCCGCACACCCGCTCCCCCCGCTCCTCACTTCTCCGTCTTGCCTAACCAACACTGTAGTTAGTTGTTTACAAGTCATGTGCAGCACCGGCTGTAAACAAACCTGTTTCTGGCGTAAAGAGGAGGCGGGAGGAGGCGTTTCTACGTAGGGAGCTGTAGGGGGGGGGGGTGGTTTCACGCATGCGCAACATTTGAAAAAGGACAAACAGTCGCTGGATTTCTCGTTCCTTGGAAAATCCTCTATACAACCTTTAAGCCCTTCTGTAGGTGTGTGGGTCGACCTGTGAACTCATGATAAGCCTCAGCAGATGAATGTTCTGTAGTACAGTTTAATAAACAAGGGCACACACACAGGCCTTGTCTACATGTCACAGTGATTCATAAAGTTTGAATGAATATAATACTTGGATGCATATTTCTAAAACTGTGCCATGTTTATCAAATAATAGCATATTCTCCAATTCTTTCTGAACAGTTGCATGCATTTAACTGAAGTCAAGCAATGTTAATGATTATTTCAGACCCTAGTTGTCTGACTGTCTGAAACAACCTCTTCTTTTGCAATAAAGCAGTGGACCCCAACCTTTATCTCCTGCAGTCCTTTCGCGGCTGAAAAGCAATGCTCATTTTAACTCAAAAGTTGGTTGTACAGAAGCTGGTAAAAGGAAGGCTCTGGCTGTGTGTCTCCTGAAATTCCTGACAGTGACAGAAACATGACGAATACCCCAGTTTTCTACTTGCCAGCATTTCCCTGTGGATCATACACTGCATAGAATTGGATCCCGGTTTTAGCTTGATAGGTTCTATTCACGCTTACGTCACAAACCAGGAAGATGTTTGGAAAGATGCAATGGGCTTTGTTCAGGGTAGTAAGTCTGACAAAATCTATAAAAAATTTGAAAATGTCTCAGTTTTCTTCATCTACATGTCATTATAGTGTTCCGTTATGTTCAGATAATCAACAATTACAACCATACCTCAGTTTTCATCATTTCCCCACTGACACACAACTCTGAGTGCACTTGGTACAGGCGATTAGAAGAGACGAGGAGCCAAATTCAAGATGATTCCAAACAGCACATACATATGCAGTCTTCATTTTACCGCTGATCACATTTACATCAGTGGGTTTTATCACAGTCGGTCGGTGAGCCCAGTGTCGGTAATTACATCAGAAATTATATTGGCATCGCATCATCTTCCTGGATTGTTTGTGACGTAATATGAATAGATGTTATTATTATCCAGAAGAAAAAACATAACAAAAAAAACCCCACCAAATATCTATGGGTGCAGAGGAGTTCTTACTCTGGCGATCCTTTCCTGTGATCATTTTACCCAAACTGTTTTTTATCAGTTTGCAATAATGAAATCAACATTTATTTAGCAATTATGAATTTATACAAATAAATAACATTAATCCATTAACACCCTTTGGTACATTTTTGTACATCACATTTCTTTTTTGTATAACTTTGGTTGTATCATAAAATGGGCTATGTATTTAAACACACATATATCCCCCTGCACCCCCCCAGGCAAATATATATCCTTAGGACCCTCCAAAATACACTATTGTAAATTGCAGGTGTCAAACATGCGGCCTGGGGGCCAGATCTGGCCCTCCGAGACCTTTAATCTGGCCCTCGGCTGATTTTCTACAAAAATATTTTAATTATATTTTTTATTAAAATATTGTTAATTTTCTGCAGTGCTGAGCATTGCAGCATCTCCAGCGTCTCTGTACGTGGCCCCTCCCACCAGAGCAGCAAAAATGAAGACTTGTCTCTTTCCAAACGCTCTTAAAGGACGATCGTTTTGACTGTTGACCGTGACACCCTCATCAGAAAAATGTCCAACATGAGAAAAGTGGAGCCGAGTGCTGGAATTACCCAAAAAAAAATTACTTATTCCTATTTATACAAGTTAATGTTAAACAAGTTCATATTAAAACATTGAGTTGAAATTGTATTTTTCTTAAAGTTTCAGGTTGTTCATAACATTATAATATTTTGTAAAAGAAAGAGTTCATCAATTAAAAAAGATTTCTGTAATAGATTTGTGTTTCTCTGCACAAATATTTGAACTTATTGTTATTTTTGGGGTTTATATGCCATGAGTTTTCTGATCCGGCCCCTTTGGGGTCAAAGTCGGTTGGATGCGGCCCCCAGACCAAAATGAGTTTGACACCCCCGTTGTAAATCCTAGAACTTCATAGGAAAGCATAGGAAAACTATGGCTTTGTTTGCGTATAGGCCTATGCAATGTGGTGATTTGAATTTAAACTGTAAAAATCATATATTCGTCCTTTCCCCCACCAGAGTAAACCACAAAAATCCACAATGTTATGGCAGTACAACCAATAAATGTGCAGTTATAATGAAAGTCAATGGGGCATTCAGGAAAAAGTAAGGAAAAAACAGTATTTTGTGGGAAAAAAAAGTAAAATAATTCAAATCTGTGCACCATTTTTTACATCTGTCAGGCTCAGATAATCTACACACAACAATGTTTAGGGCAGGAGTAAACAAGACATTTAATGAGAAAAAACAAATAGAAAAATACCTTTTACAACATAAAGTAATTATTTTTTCCCCGTTATACATTTTAGTGATGAAGGACTATAGGTCTGATTATTAATTAGAAATTGACTTGCAAAAACTAAAACAAAGTCTAAACCAGTGCTGGTACTATTTTATGACACCTTCAGACTGTGATAATCCCAATACAAAAAAAAAAACAAAAAACTTTAAAGATATAAAAAGAGTCAATTTTTTGTTCTATATTTTTTCATGTATGTAATATGATACTTTTGCAGACAAATAGCATTTACGGGGCATAATATTATATTTGATATGTATGATTAGAGCAGAAGTAAACTGAGATAAAGTTGATAAGTTGAAGAAAAGTTTGTATTGCCTAGGGGTGTTAGAGAAGAAAGCACATGACTAGTTGAACAATTGCTGCAGTTTGAGTTTAGTTTGAGCTTTTTTGGGGTTTTGGCCTCGTATCTTAATCTGTCTGACGGATAGACTGTGCCTGATCTGGCCATGCCTGAACAAACATCTCTGTGTGGGTGAAGGCACGTGCGCTCTAACAAAACAGGAGAGAGCTGGGAAGGAATCAGGGGCAGTATGGGACATTTTTGGAGCATGGTTCTGTGCCCGGACACATCTCACAAAGAGGAAATGTGGCTGGTTACTGTACCGACACCCAGAATTTGAATGGGGGCGGGTGCTTCTCAGGTTCTTTAGCAGGTTGTGTGTTCGTGCAGCAAGCTACTTAACTGATAAAGTTACATTATCTCATAAAATATAAATAGGCTAGTGCCCTAAATAGAGGTAAGTATGTTTATTTTTATTGTCACTACGTCCCCTGTAGGTCAACATATAACATGATTTTCAAGTTTTTCCTATATATTTTGATGTTTTGGTTCTTAAAGGTGCACTGTGTAACTTTTCTGAAGAAGCAATCCATCACGTGCTTGTTTCTATGGATAAAACATTCCTCTGCCTGGAATATTCCACAGCATGACATTAAACAGCTCTACATTTATTCAATTACAGGTGGTTTTATAGCTCAAAAATACTTAGAAAAACAGGCAATCTGACTGTGAGCGGGGTTGCCTCTCCACAGATCTGACCTGTAACTTGGTCTGGTTTGGTCGATAGAAAGGTTTAATACTATACTGTGAAACATTCCAAAGCAATAACGTCTAAATGGAGAAAAGCATTTGACGGACCCTCCACGAGGAAAGTTACACAATGCACCTTTACGACGTTTATTTATTTAGAAAGCAGAATGAGCCTTTCATTTGGGTTGCCAGTTTCAGTGCTTAAATCCAGTTGGTTTAAACCTAAAATGCCTCTGTGATCTGAATCCTCACTACCTAAACCTCAGCACCTGCCCATCATTAGTGTAAGACTTTATTAGTTATGAGTTACTTATTTATTTATTTATGAGTTATTTATTCAACCCACTACAGCCCAATTCTGATTGTAGTACAAAAACATAACAAAAAGTGATCCACCA